GCTCCTTCTGGAGAAAAACCAAGAGTCGCCATTTGACTTCTCAGCTACAATTCCATGTAATGTCTTTCTGCTCACATCTTTCAGAGAGATCCACTGCTCACAGAACTTTACAGCTAAATTCTTAGAGAACTGACACTAAATTGCTGAGTGTCAAAGAACAAATTAAATCAGAAGAGAGGCTGGACTCTACAAGGGTGGGTTTTGTTGCGGGGAGTGGGGGGCTGGCCATGGGAGCACGCCATCTTGCAATGTGGAGGATTCCTCACTTACTGATCTGTATCCACTGGGGCCCCACACATATAGGCCATTCTGCTCACCACACACACGCGCGTGCACACACACACATACGAGCACACATACAGAGTCTCATGGGTCATTCACCAAAACCTGGGGCCACAGCTCACACCAGGCTTGATTGCAAGCCAGGAAGTATGGCTGAAAGAAATATCATTCTTCTGTGTTTTGAGTTTTCGCAAATGGAATACAAAACCTCTTCCTTGCAGCTCAACCAATCAAGGCAACCTGCCTGTGGGAAAAAAGCACAGGATCTGGAGGCAAGCATCTCAGTTACACACCCCCTCCCCCAATTTTGGGTAAATCACAATCCTTCTTACCTACCAATTTTCCTACACTGCAAATTGGGCTGCACGTTATCTGCTATATTTCTTCCAAAAATTCTTATTAAGACTCAGTGAGATACTGTATGCAAAATTAAATGTTAAAAGTACTTTACGAGTGTTATTTATTATTTTTATTATTTAGCACTATCATAGGAAACAGTGACATGGAGATGTTTTGGTTGACAATCCCAGCTGAGCTCAGACCTCAAGTCAGCCCAGCCCAAATGCCAGATATGTGAGTGAAGGAACCCCTAGATGATTCTAGTACCCAGTAGAGGCCCCAGATATCAAGGAACAAAGACAAGCCATCCTGAGCTTGTCTGTGCAAATTCCTAATTCGTAGAATCACACACATCACAAAATAGTTGTTTTATGCCACTTATGCAAACTTGTTGAAGTGATCTGATAGGCAGCAACAGATGACAACCGAAACAGTACACAATGATGAGAAATGCCCTTTGGGCTATAAATTCAGTATGTTGGCACTGGAAAGTTGCTTAAGTTTTGAGAACAAGGAAGTGGAGCATTGAGGAAATTCACACTGAAGTCTCTGCAGTCCAGACTCGATCTCGAGTCTTTCCCGTAGGCTCAGGCAGCCCCCTGACCCCCGGCAATGTCAGGTTAATGCTAGAGGGCCTTGAAGAGTGATGTACTTTCTCCCTTTCTGTGGAACCTCCTCCTCCACCTTCCGGCCTGTGTCCAGGTATTATAGTGGACTATGTCCTTCACCTTCATATCCTTTACCCAAGCATAGTGGCTGGTCAGAAGAACCAAGTTGCCGAACTGAATACAAAGGGTTACAGGGAAAGGATGGTGTGTCCTAGAAGGTATTTCTTCTTCCCTTGTCCCTCAGGTTTCCACAGGGTCACTCATCTGCTTCTATGGAGGAAGGCGAAGGGAAAGAATCAAACTAGCATTCAGTAAGCACCTGCTACATAGCAGGTGCTTTAATGATTTGATTTAAAAACCTCACGAGGTGGGAGCCTTACTTAGGATATAAAGAAATTGAGGTTTATAATTGAACCACTTGCTTGAGATCATGCTGACGGCGAGTGACTGTCCCTGAGTGTTTCTGGGGACATGTTTCTGTTCCCGAGTCTGTCCTGTTTCACCTGGGTGGACCATGCTGCTGGCTTGGGAGTTCAGAGGACTGAAGCTGTGGGAGGCTTCCTCGCACAGGGGAAATCCCCTTGGGACGCAAGTAGAGCAACTGTCTCCTTGTAATCAGTTCAGAATCTTCACTGGGCGTTTACAACCAGACGGCTGTGGGTGTCCAGTTACCCAGCCTCGAGGCCAGAAGGCTGGAAGGCAAGGGACACCCCGGAAAGTAACGCTTTCAGTCAGACCAAGAACAAGTGCTGGGCTTAAACACTAACCACCTTATTCCAGTTGTCTGGATACTGACCACTCCTCCTAGCCCATGAGCGATTGGTCCCCACTAGCTGTCTATTCTACCACAGCCCAGACAGAATCTCTCGCACTGACTAAAAAGGCAATTTTCAAAAATGACTTTTTTTCTTATAAGGCAAGAGACAAAGATCACACAAGATCATTTCCTATTTGTGTCATCTGACAGAAGACATCTTGCTTGTTGGGGAAACAATGAAAAAAAACCAAACTCGGCTTAGAGGTAAATGATTTCATTCTGAATAAACTGGATTTGCTGAGAAACAAAGACAGACTGACTAACAGAGGCAGAGAGAGGAGAGGGGAGGGAAAGGGCAGGGAGTGGGGGGAAGAGGAGGGGAGGAGAGAGGAGAGGATGAGGGGGGAGAGAGAGAGAGAGAGAGAGAGAGAGAGAGAGAGAGAGAGAGAGAGAGAGAGAGAGAGCGCGTGCGCCAGCGTGAACAGCCTGAGGCAGAGAGGGGATCGTGAGAGAAGACAGAAGAGACTCCATCTTCAGAATAGACAGGGCTCTGCTGAGTGCAACTCTGCCGCTTATTCATTCCTCACTAGCCTCAAAAAAGACGTTCTTAAATCGCTTGCCAGTTTCTTAAAAAGTTAAACATGCATTTACCATATGGCTAAGCAATTGCACTCTGAGGTATCTACCCAAAATAAATGAAAACGTGCGACCTCACAAAGAATTATACATGAATGTTCAGATTAGTATTATTCAAAATGGCCCCAAACTGGAAATAATTCAAACGCTCATCAACTGACAAATGGATAGACAAAATGTGGCATGTCTACACAATGGAACACTTCTTAGAAAGGACTTCATTCCTGAACTTGCTACAATATGGATGATCCTCAACACATTATGCTAAGAAGTCAGACACAGAAGACTACATACTGTGACCCCAGTTATAGAATATTCCTATAAAAGGAAAAACGAGAGACAGAAAACAGAGTAGTGGTTGCCTGGTGTGGGGTGTGGGAATGGAGACATCTCGCTCAGGAGAACTTTCCGGGGTGAAAGAAGTTCTCTTAATCTAGATTGTGGAGATGGCTGTACCACTGTATCAATTTCGTAAAACTCATCAAACTGTACCCTAATATGGGGGAATTTTATGGTATGTATATTATACTTTAATAAAACTGTTTTTAAAACAAGATGTTCTAAAGATCATATAAATGTGAGATACATATAACCAACGATACAAAGGAAAGGCCACGATGTTCATTACGAGGATGATTAAAAATATGGTAATATTCCAAGATCATCAGTGTTTTGGCTGGGTTAGCACAAGCCTGCTCAAAAAGTCCTGGAATATTAAAATCAACTTAAAGAAGTTAATATAAAAGGTTCCCATAGCAGGTGATAAAGGTACTGCCCTTATTATTTTCAAAGGTACTATCCATACACAGAGTTCAGGAATCAGGAGTGACAGAAGGCACATCACATTTTGAGAATGACAATGTAGAAGGTAAATGCCCCTCAGAGCTAGGATACATAGCTGGATGGGTTGGAGGTAGAGTCCAGGGCGGTACTACTATTTATGAATTAAGATCCTGTTTTCCAGAACAGGACATCCTGGACAAGGGAAGTCACGGTGCTATAGAAAGGGGAGAAACCCTAAAAGATTGCCTCATATTGATAAGACAAAATACTCTGGCTTTGGATGGAGACAGACCAGACTGGAATCCAACTTTGCCTCTCACTGAAACTTTAAATGTTTTCATCTGTAGAATGGGTTTAATGCTGTCTTCCTTACAGGGTGGTTCTGAAGACAGGATGAGAGCATGGAAGGGAAGTGCTCACTCTGATGAGGAGATCTCACTGCACTACCGGAGCCTTCTGGAGACTCCACGTGGGCCTCTGAGACAGGGGAGACACAGTTTACCTATGTACATGATGCCTTAAAAGGAATCACCTCGCATTTCTTTCCAAAGCTGATCACTGGACACAATTCTTGAGTATCACTTTATAAATTTTTGGTAACTTAAGAGTGGAAGGAAAAGGAATGAAATGAGGCTGTGGGTCCCTGTGGTACCTCCTTCGCCCTGTGGGATGCCCGAACGTCACATGATGCAGCATACAGAGAAAAGGATGGTGTGGGAAATAGTTCTACATATAGTTCTAGTCTCAGTTTGTCTCAACTCCCACAGCTCGCTCGACCAGAGTTTCAAAACTCCCTGTTCACTTCCAGATCTTCATTACTGATGTCTATGAGACGAAAAACAGTATCACGAAATTATGTTGTAGATTAGCATCGAAAAATCTTTCCTTTCTTCCTCTCTTAAAAAATTTTACATCTTCTATGTAAAGAATTTAAAACACAGGTAAGCAAAAATGAAAAAGTAAGCCATTTCCTAAACACCACCCAGATGTGATCACATTCAAGATTAGTTTTTGTTTATGTTGTTCCAATCCTTTCCTATGGGAACATAAGCACGTGTTGATATATTATATGCAATGTGTGTCTCGACACCAGAGCCCTATGGCCTGGGTTCAAACCCTGTTCTTACCACTTACAGCTGTGTGGCCTACTAAATCAGGGAAGATGACAGTACGTTCCCCAGAGTTTTTGTGAGGGACGAGTGAATTAAATATATAATATGCTCAGAACTGGGCATGGTGTAGAGGTCCACAGAAGAGAGCTACTGCCCTGGGCAGGACATGCATATCATGCAACACCACGTCCCTGCATATCCATGTATGTACACAGCACATGCACTCATGTGTATGCTTGTCTACTGACATGTGTGCAGTCCTGTGTCGTGTGGATAGGTGCAGCTGTTACGTCTAAACATGCAAAATGGAACTGAACTTCAAATAAAGATCAGAAAAGCAGTAGTCCACTAGATCAAACCAAGACGATTTTCCATGCCTTTGAATCTCAAGTTAGTGAAGTGGTTAATTCAGCCCACTCAAGTCTAGTTATGATATAAACTGGAACCTCTAATTTAATACCTGCTCAACATTAAAAACGGTAATATCATAAATGCAAATTTTATTTAACAAAAAGACAGCATGATTCTTCCAAAATAAAAATCAGAAACACCTCGAAAGCCTCCATTCCAACTCTGCAAACACACCTGTGCACTGATGTGCTTCTACCCCCATCACCCAGCCACGGTGGCCCCTGGCAGTGGAAGGTCAGGCACTGTCAGGCTACAGGGAAACCTCAGGTGAAACACATAAGCTAAATCTATTTTTCACTTGAACTCTTCCGTGAACGGTGCCACTGCAAGGGGGATATGTGAGGTATGTGAAAGGCTAGAATTCCAAAGGGTCATGGCCTTTAGTCATCATACATGATCCCGTCACAAGTGTTGAAGATGACTGTAGGTCACGGCTTCGCTGATAACCGGCTTGTCCACGAACTCTACAGTGCACAATTTTGGGCAATCATCATTGCAGGGTGCCCGTTCCAATTCCAGCACTATGATGGTGTTTGGGGCCGATGTCACCAGGATATGTTGTGGCACGAACAAGGTCATCTGGGGGCCTCGCTCTGGCCAATAGCGACCCAGGTTAAAGCCGTTAATCCACACCTGACCCTTGAGAGAAAGAAAGAGAAAGAGAAACCATCAACCCCAGCTGCACTACCTCTGATGAACAGGAGAGCTGGGATGCACATGGGTCAGCCAGCAGCGGCCGAGGCAGGAAACGCCCCATAAAGGCACTCTCCCTCCAGGTCAAGGCCTGAGAGCCAGACCCAGGCCAGTCTGGGTTCCAGCGTTCTACCGAGATGACTGGCCAAGTCGGGCAGGGGTTAGGTGGGAGAAATAAAAAGAAATGGCTCCCAAATACCCACTCCTGCATCAGGAAAATGCGTGTTTGGTCCCTCTGACTGGCTTCAGCAGCCACACATGTCACTACCGGACAACGCTGTTTCAGTTGCATTAAGGTTTTGAATTTGTCCTGGGTCCTGGAGGACTGCCTGTCTCCACATACCAGCCTCTCCTGATTCTTTTGTACAAAGAGACTCGCTGAATGGCTTCAAGGAGGAGAGCTTTCCAGTCTACGGCCATGCCACCCTGAACACGCCCGATCTCGTCTGATCTTGGAAGCTAAGCAGGATTGGGCCTGGTTAGTACTTGGATGGGAGACCACCCAGGAATACTGGGTGCTGTAGGTGTTAAAAAAAAAAATACCGATGAGGAGAGCTTTCCTCCTTTGTTCTCCCCTCCTAGAGGCAAGTCTTGACCATGCTGTCTCCGTGCACAAAATGTGCACAGGGAACACACAGGTTCCAGGAGCCATCCCCAAACCACCCCTCAGGAAGGATGTGGGGGCTGGGGGAAGGAGAGACGAGAGACGAGAGACGAGAGACGGGGTCTGCCCAGTTGGGCGTCTATATTAACTGGTGCATTTTAATGGTTTTCACACCAGCAATAGAGTGAGGGTGGCCTGCTTGCTTTGAGGAGCAGAGGTGATTTTACAAGCCGCAAAGACAATTTCTGTGAGCAGAAGCTGCTTCGGCTACAAAACTGAGAGTGGAGGAGAACCTCCTAAAGAACAGGGCCACGTTTGGGTGTGTCTGCACAGCCTCTGCCAGTGTGAGGATTTGCGTATAGGGTAGGATTTAACAGTTGGCTGAATAGATAGAACATTCTATCACAAACAAAGAAGAAAAGCAAAAGAGGGGGAGCTCACACACATGGGAGAGAAAGAAAGAGAGAAAGAATATGTGGGAGAGGGAGGAAGGAATAAAGGGAGAAGGGAGGGAGGGAAGGAAGGAAGAAGAAATAAAGAATTCGCTACCCACAGCGGCCCAAATACAGATGGTCCCCAACTTAAGATGGTTCAACTTAGGATATTTCTACTTTATGACTAGTGCAAAAGCGGTATGTGTAATAAATTACATGAAATTTTCAACAGTTTATTTATTATAAAATAGGCTTTGTGCTTGAAGATTTTGCTCAGCTGTAGTCTAATGTAAGTGTTCTGAGCACATTCGGGTAGGCGAGGCTAAGCTATGGTGTTCGGTGGGTTAGGTATATTAAATGCATTTTCGACTTACAATATTTTCAACTTACGGTGAGTTTATTAGGGCATAACCCATGATAAGTCAAGGACCATCTGTATATTGGGGGTGACACACCAGAGGAGACTCAGACATGGCTGTCACGAGGACCATCTGTATATTGGGGGGTGTGACACACCAGAGGAGACTCAGACATGGCTGTCACCTGCTGAGCCCAGACCCCTGGTATGCTCCACATCACAGTTGCTGTCACTCACCTTACGGCTCCTTAGTTCCACACCTTTCGGTATTTTTCAGCCTCTGGGTGTCCCCTTTATTCCGGCTCCCTCAGAATTTCCTAGCTGGGTTCAAATCTTAGTCCTGACACTTACTGGCTGTCTGACCTTGGGCAGGTCCCAACTCACACTGGTAACTGGGGACAGGGAGGACAGGAAGACTCAGTGCATGTCTAATGGTCAGCACGGCGCCTGGCACTGGGGCCACGCTCAGTAAGTGGCGGCGCTCCTCCCACTACTCACATAAAAAGATCTGGGCACTCACGTGCCCACAAAAGGAAGCCAATGATTAAAAACTATCCTTTGGTTGCATTAAGTCATTTAGAAAAAGGATGACAGTTTCACAGTACTCAAAACTGTTTTACTCTTGTTTTTACCATGGGATAAGCTATCTCGATCAATCCTAAAAGGTCTATAAATGACAACTTTACCGGGTTTTTATCAGTTTAACATCTGCTGGTGTCTTGTTTTCACAGTATTAACGAACAGCAGCACTTCACTTTTGTGGTCAAGGCGGGTAATGGGTCCGAAGGTAGATGAATGAGAGGGCTCTGTGAGCAGCACATGAAAAACGGTCTGTGTGACACGGGCTCCACACCGTGTCCCCGACAAAGGCTAAGCCAATTCTTGACCAAAGAGTGAGGTGAACGACGCTGTGGTCTGGTTCCTTCTCACACCTAAAACTCAACTTCATAAGTATCCAAGACAGTCCCTCACATCCCTTGTGCTGAATCGGGCATGTCTTCCTGGAAAGCTGGTGACCACTTCCCTAAATCTCCCCCACCAGAGGCTTCCAGGTCAGAGTTGGCCAAAAGAGGAAGGACCTTGTTGAGATTAGGAAGGTGGAAGGGAAGCAGCAGCCTGGCTCGTGGGGGTTTTCATGGCTAGACCAGGACTGACAGGACCAGGGTGCCTGCAGGTTCAGGGCTTCCTTGGTCTCCTCGGCTCCATGTCCAGCTCACCTTCCTGAAGGCTGCCCTGCTGACCAACAGTGTGGTGGCCTCATAAGGCAACAGTCCCTGTGAGCTTCCCAAAGTACTGCTTGCGTGGCTGGACTTTGCTCCTGAGGTTGCTGAGGTGTCAAAGTGTTGACTTGATCAGTGCAGGAGGGTTGTTTAGTGTTTCTGCCTTTGATTTTCTGACCCTTCTTCCAACTTCCGTTTTCCAAGCTCTTCCCACATTCCTGTAAGTTCTAATTCCTACTAAAGACTACTCCCAGCAGCCTCACTTCCCAGGCTGCGCTGTGACTGACAGACATAACCCCAAACTGTCACTCTTAGTTGCTGATCAAAGTTGGCATTATCTTTCTCCTAACTGCTTCTTTATTTCTGGACACTGCACAATCTGTTCTCGTTCTTTTCTCCCCCAAACTGTCACCCATTTTGAGCAGTCAGCTGCCATACGGACCCTGCCTCCTAATTCACCCAAATGACTCTCCAGTATGTAGGTATTGTGCTTTGCACCTTCCCCTCAACTTTCCCTAAACCCAAGGTTAGTTACATCTCCTGTGACCTTGATTATTTCTCCAGCTATGAACTTCTTCAGGACAAAATTTCCCTCCAATCTCAGCTCTTCACATTAAATAAAGGGTCACTAAATAAAGTATATGGCACTTCGGTTGCCCTTCCAAGAGAAAGGAGTGAAGAATTCTGGAGGCTGGAGCTTTCTGCGATGATGGAACTTTCTGTGCTGCCCCACAGAGTAACTACATGCACTGGTTAGAGGCCAATAAGCACTTGAAATGTGGCTAGTGCTAAGGAGGAATTCAATTGCCTCTTTTAATGAATTTAAATTTATATGTAAATAGTCACATGAGGCGAGTGGCTACCATACTGGACAGCATGGCTGAAATACCTGTAATTTCATTATCAGATCACAATCTCTCTGCTTCTCTCCCCACTAGAGCCAGTCTCCTAGAGCATATCACAGTCAGTGCTGTCTTAGACGGCTGCGGCCTCCTCACAAGTCTCCTAACTTCCTCTGTTGACTGTAGAATCCCAGGCTCCCCACAGCAGCCTAATGAGAATCAGATGATTTTCACACGTTCCTGCTTCTAATTCCCTACCATGGCCCACAGACCCTGTCTCTGCCACTCTGCCCCTTGCTCACTCAAGTCCTCACTGGACCTTTCCCCGCTTACTTTAACACACCAAGCTTTCTCACTGTGCATTAAGTATTGCCCATGCCCGTTTCCCCAGATCTAAAGCCTTCTGAACACTCAGGTCTCAACTCCACCATCACCTCCTCAGAGAAGAGAGTCACAGTCAACCTCCTGAATACTCGGCTTTCCATTCCAAGTCCCTCACCACCCTTTTACTCTCTTCTTTTTCTTCTAGTTATTGTCATTCCTTGATACTTGTATCATCTGTTTGATTACTGGTTTATCAGCTATTTCCAGCATAGGCTCTATGAAGGGAAAGGCTTTGTCCATTTGTCCAAGGCAAGGTTCTCATCACTCCACAGAGCGGTATTCTGTATATTCCTAGCAGCTTGCATTGGATAATACTGGTTGATAATTCAGCCTGAGAAAAGATTCACTGATGAAGTGACACAAAGCACTATGGAAAGAATACTTCATATTCCTTTGCTCCCGGCTTAAGAGTTTTAGAGAACACTGTTTACTGGAATAAAAATGAAGTATTTGCATTTTTCCTTGAATAGCCCTGTGATTTTTTTTTTTTTAGAAGTAATTTTTCTAACGTGCTAAAAAATCACTTAAAAAGAGTTGAACTTTAAAAATTCAATTTTAAGGAACACATACACTCTAATTTTTCTTTAAAAAATCATGCTGAAATTATTGGTGGCAGGGAGAGCCTGACATGTTGGTAAATGTGACCTAAAAGTAGACACATTCTTAATTAATATAGCGAGCCCCACTGTGGCCGAGCATTTGTAGAGTGAACCCTAGTGGCTTCTGGGGTTTCCTGGGGCTATCCCAGCTAAAATAGTTCCATGACAAAGTCTGACTTTCTCTGACCATGGCTTGACCCCCCACCCCGACAGACTTCCCACTCTTTGCTGTCATCACCAAGGTGATGACAGCATAAACCTTAGGTTCCTGGAAATACCTGACCTACTTTGTTAATCAGACAGATGTTTGCTGTCTGTTTTAAATTCTCTAGATAAATACAATCCCCTCATAAGAATTTAAAGCAAAAGTTCCAATGCTGTTTTAAGTCAGTTTAAAAATTTTAAAATACGGCCGAGAGTTCCTTTAAAAACAACAAACTCGGGTTGAATGTCAATTTTGTCATACTCTGAAAGAAGACATTTAGACACTTGGAGAACTTAGAAT